ATATATATATATATATAAACAGTATTAATGCAATAAAAAAAAAGAAAAAAAGGTCATTTAACTTAATGATACTTACAGAAATCATTTAACCCAAAAATCTTTGTTCCACAAAATCACGGAACAATCTCGATAGGCTCTTTATCTACTGGTAACAATAACTAATTAAACCGACATTGTAATTAATCAAAATGAATGTAAAATACTCAAAGTTGAAATATACTTACAGAAAGACCAATGTCAATAACCTCTGAAATCCTCATCTATACTTTCATCTCGAATATGTGACGAGTCTAATACCTGAAATAATTAAGTTGAAGTTACAATGACATTATAAATTGTTTGTTTTTATCTTACAATTCTTTCTTTTTGTGTACTCTGAAGATCATTTAAATCATGCTAATATTTATGTAATGATAAGAACACTTACAAAAGTAAAGTTGCTGAAGATCCAAATAGAATCAGGAATTGTTGGGACAATAAATGAGTATCAAGTTGTTGTTGGGTGGATGCTCTTCTTCAACAAAACCTAATAAAATTTATACAAAATCCATAAGGCACCCGAAGCAATTCATAACTGTAACTATGTTAGCACACTAGTTAACTTAAAAGTTTTAAAAAAAAGGATAATATAATTAATTGAAAAATAAAGTCATTTAACCAAATATTTAGGTAAACATTTAATCGAGAAATCCTTGTAATTAAACCTACCCTTGTAGTAATATTCCAAACATATATTAACCAAAATTAATGAACAGTAAATTCAATATTCAAACCTTAAATATACTTACAGAAACATCAAACGCACTAATCTTCGAAAATTCCACATGAACATGAGAAATCTTTGGCCACTCAGAATCAGGACCGCTTTCTTTCGTGCATCTCTTTCTCAACAACGGACATGACTGAATATTTAATAGTTTTAATTTGGTGAGTCGTTGCATAGCTTCTTTAGAGGCTAGATGCCTGAGGTTTTCACAAAACTTTAGTTTCAATACTTCAAGAGATGACAAATTCCCAAACCAATCGGGCAATTCTTCCATTCCAAAATCACATATTGTCAAATCTTTTAGTAAAGTATTATGTTGAAGCTGAACCGGTAGAGAGACCCAATCCGCTTGACCTTGTAAGTATAATTTCTCAAGAGATTTTATGTGCTTGATACCATCGAGAAAATCTTGAAATGCATTGAACTGGATTGAATTCGAGAATTTCCCAATCCGCAATTCTATTAAACTGTTAAGGCATCCATTCCCACTCAATTCAGGAAATGAAGTGAGATTGGGGCATTTCGCCACCTTTAGATTCTGTAGAGATCCCATCCGACTCAATTCAGGAAGCATAGTGAGATTTGGGCATTCACGTATAGATAGATGTTGTAGAGACTTACTATACTCTAGCATTTCATTTGGCAGGTTGCTCAACTCATGGCAATTACGAATTTCCAACTTCTGAAGGGAAAGGAGGCCTTTTTGTCCACTTTGATATGAAATTGATTTCAGATTTCCACATGTATATATTTCCAATGTCTCAAGAGACTGGAGGCTACCAAGGTCATAGGGTAATTTCCTCAATTTAGGACAATTCCGAATTTTCATCTTTTTAAGAGAAGCTCCGCTGCCCCGTAAATGGGGAACATGAGCTAACTTATGACAATTAAGTATTTCCAAATATTCAAGGCAAGGAAATACCTGTGTTCCGCTCATTTGTGCTTCTTCCCACTCTGTTAGTTTCCACAAACTGAATATTTCTAACTTTTTAAGTGACGGGAATGATACTCTTGTCTCCTGGCCATCGCTGCTGCTAGTTGAGTTGCAATCACTCTTTCCATAGAATGATTGTCTTATTGATCTTACATTTGATAGACCTGTAAGCTTTAGATGCTTGAGGAGTGGTAGGTGGCCTAGCATTGGGAGTTCTTCGCATTTGGGACAATTTCCAATTTCGATCTCGATCAATTTATCAAATATCACCAGACGACCACCAATGCCTTTATATATTCCCATATTTCTAGTCCAAACTGGAAAGTTTTTACCTCGAAATCCTTGAATTATTAGGCTTTTTAGCTTTTCATGAGGCTGCAGCCCTTCAAGTACACTCTCATCATTGATGTTACTTTCTGTGGAAGCCATTGGCATTCTCCAATGAAAGCTAAACTCATAAATGTTTACCTTTCCAGCCATATCTGCACGCTCAGCTTCTGTTTTGCTGCTCACCAAATCTAGATTTAGTATTTGTAGTTTGCCCTTTAATTTCTTTAACTTTCCCAGCTCATCGATTCGACAACCTTCCTTGTCACTCACACGAAATAATGGTAATGTTTGAAGGCAAGATAAACTTCCGATTTTAGGTGGCATCTCGAAATCATCGTGAACTTTATCAAAACAGAGATGCCTCAGACGAATCAAGAATTGTAGATCTCTAGGAAGCCTTAGAAGCCTGTGAAATCTGTAGCGCCATAGAATCCTCAAAGTTTGCAAATTGTAGAGCTTGCAAATAGATTCCGGCAGAGTAGTGAGATAATTGTAGGACACATCAAGATATCTCAAATGTTTCAAAGTGCCAATTGATGTTGGCAATTCTTTAATATTTGCATGACATAGCTTTAGAGAATACAAATGCTTGAAGTGCGGCAAAATTTCATCTGGTACGCTGCTTCTCAAGAATAACGTGTGGAGGTAACTAGCTCTCTCTTTTATGTTCTTGACTGCTTCCTCTCCAATTGATTCTATTGCAAGGTGTCTAATTTGAAGAATGTCATCAGCAGTGCGACCCTCCATATTCACGGAACTTTCTGATTTCGAAACTAAACATGCAAGATCATGGACAAGATCGTGCATCTTGCAACTTATGATATTGCCATACTCGTCCTTTTTGGGCTCTTGAAAGAAGAAGTTTTGCAACAAAATATTAAAAAATTTATCGCCTGTAGTCTCCAACTCATTTTTTTTATCATTCGGGAGAAATCCTTCCGCCATCCAAAGCTGGATTAAGTCTTCTCTATCCATGACCGAATCCTTGATAAATAATGAACAATAGGCAAAACATTTTTTTAGTGATGAAATTGGTAAGCGATCATAGCTTACCTTTAGGACTTGCAACACACCCTTCTCACCCTCTTCAAGATTTGACAGCCCAGACTGCAGAACTGAATCCCACTCGTCTATTTCCTTTCCTTGCAAAACTCGTCCAATCACATTTGCTGCTAGAGGTAAACCTCTACATTTGCGAGCAATCTCCAATCCAGTAATCTCAAATTCTTTTGGTACTTCTTTGTCTTGAAATGACATTTCTCTGATTATGCACCAGCATTCATCATTTGTTAATGACCTCAATCTACATGGACGATTGCAAGTGTTCACAATCGATGCCACCTTTTCCTTACGTGTGGTGACGATAATGAAACTTCCTTTATTGGAGCTAACTCCCGCCAATGTATTTTTGAAAGCATTCCAAACACCTTCTTCTTCATTCCACAAATCATCGAGAACAAGCAAGTACCTTTTGTCTTTTATTTCCTTTGCAATCCCTTGAACAACAGCTTCCATGCTATCTCGATCAGATTTTTTGTTCAATAATAATTCCAGGATCTTTTGAAAAAGCGTCAGCTGATCAAAATTTTCTGATATACATACCCAAATCCTTTCATCGAAATGGCTTTGTGTACAAGGGTGCTTGAAGATGTTGCGTGCTATAGTCGTCTTGCCAAGCCCTCCCATTCCGACTATTGGAACGACTGAAAGGACATTATTGATCGAGCTGGTAATCGTCTCCAGAATTTTTGATTCATCACTTTCTCTTCCGATGACAATTGGATCAACAGTGAAGCTGGTAGTTTCTATGATCAGAGGCTTTGCAAGAGGATAATCTTTAACTCTGTTGAGGCCAAGGCTATCAGCTTCGTTGTTTATCCTTTCGAGATTTTCATTTATGCCCTTGATCTTGTGAGACATCTTCCAATGAAAAGTAATTTTGTGAGCCATCTTTCGTAGAAATGTCAAAATGCAAGGGAAGTTTAAGCACCCACTCTCGTCCTCTGTGTCCTCTGTCTCTATCGTACGACTCAAATCTTCATATTTGATCTCGTCCAAAACGTTGTCGGCATCATTCGCAGCATCTTTGAGGTCCTTGAGCCATCTTTTAACAGCACTGTTGGTGATTTCGCGCTCCTCAGCACCTTCCAAGACTTCGTTAATCATTATCAAGTATTTTTTTAGATTTGCAAATTCTTTCTTGAAACCCTGCACGAGTTTGAATTCTTCAGATGCTACCTCAAACAATTTCTCCAGTATAAATCTTACACCTTCAGTAGCCATAGCTTCCATTTTTTCTTGCTTTAGAAGTTTGGTGTGAATGATTGATTGATTTCGTCGGGGAGGGGCGGGGGGCAGCGAGAGAGAGAGAGAGAGCAAAATCAAGGAGTTTGTGGTGTAAATGAATTTTTTTTTCCTCTGCTTAAGAAAGGTGCACTGAATTGATCAATCTTTTAGTCAAAAGTCTTTTTTACAACCTACTTGTCTAATTTCGTATGATTAAAATCTAAATTTTAATTTAAAATTCACAATCTAAGCCCCATTTGGGAGGGATTTTGAGAATTGATTTTTTTACCGTTAAAAGAAAAGTGAGGTCCACCTATAAGAGAAGAAGCCAAAAATTACGGTTGAAATAGTGAAATAACGGTCAAAAAATCAATTTTTTGAGATAAAAAATCCCTCCCAAACAGACCCTAATATTAACAACATATTTGATGGGTCCTACAACTTTTCTATAACACATTTCTTCAATTTTTGTCAAGTTCTACTAAAAATCTAATTTAATCCCGCCAAACATAAACTTATTGATAGTTGAATTCTGCATTTCTCTCCCTACCACATAATTAAAATTCCAAATCCAAAGCAAGGAAATTTCAATGAAATGCCTATGGTTCTTGCTACTTTCCGGCTTGTAGTGGAGAAATTAGTCTAAAATCATGATTTTTTAATACTAAATTAGTTACCCAACATTACGACTCATGATTTAACTTCCTCACAAAATTTTAGGAACGAAGAGTGGGGACCCTGAAGGTTGGGGTTCAACTTCTTTATTTATTATTATTATTATTATTATTATTTTGAATATGCTATTATTTTGTGTGACTCTCATCAGCAGTCACGTGTAATCTTTATGCTTTTTCAATTTTTTAAGTCAGAGTTATTCACTAACTTCCAATTAGAAAGGGTCCCAATATCTCACTAAGGACAATATAACTCAATTATTTAATTTGTATTCTCTCTACCCAATAGATTACACTCACACAATATAATTTTAAATTATTGATGACATTGCAATCGGCGATCTTACACCATTATACCGAAATAAATTGGAAAAAGTTGTGACATATCTATAAAAATTAAAAGAAATGAAGAATTATTACACAATGAAAAAAGTTAAGCTAATTTTAATTTCTTTAGTTATAATTCCATCAAAATTTAATCGAATTATTTTAACCCTGTTTTTTTCAAAAAATACATTTTGCAATACTATTATGATGCAAAATGTGTAGTTAAAAAATATGCAAAGTACTTGAATTTATGTGTAATATTATTTTATCAAAAAATGTGTAGTTGAAATATGATCAAATCACTATTCAAAATTACATTTTGATGGAAAAATGGGGCTCGAACAAGCGCTGAGTACAACTTCAATGAGATTCGAATATTTCTTATAGATGGTATAATCCGTTGGCAAAAAAAAGGAAAAGATAGAGAGAATAAAAAAGGACATGAATTGAATGCATAAGCCACCACAATACGTAAAATCTTAACCACCCAGAAGTGCCCCCAGGGCACATCTCCAAGTGATAAAAGGGGAGGGTGGAGAAATCCAGCTTTGTTTGAACCTGCCGCGTCAAGGGTTCGAATCCTAAAATATGGATTTGGCTCTTGGGTAAGTGTAAGTGTATAAGCAACCTTCTACCTTGTATTCTTGGAGGCATAACCTGCGATTTACCTCCCTCACGATACTCCAGGGCAGGGGTGGTGGGGGACCCTTAAGGTTAGGGTTTAACCATTTTTTTTTTTTTTTAACCACCCAGAAGTATCCCTAACTCAATCGTGAATGATGTTTGAGACGTTCAAAAATTTGGTCAGTTTTTTAGGACAACTTAAACTTTTCTCCTATTATTTATAACATTTTCATTGAATTCTAAATAGTAGATTTTTTTGTTTTCCAACCAATATTCATCAAATTTCCCCAAGAACGAATATAGCAGATTTTTGTGGGATTTGTCAATTCTATCCGCATGCAATCAGACGTAATCGTTATACTTTTTCATCTTTTTAGTCAAAGTCATTTACGCGTGCATTAATTTTCAATTAGAAAGGGCCCCAATGTCTCACAAGCAATAATTTGATTTCAACTCAATTATTGATACGTATTTTTCTCATGTACTAACTTTCAATTAGAAATGGCTCCAACATCTAGCCAAAAATAATTTGATACCAACTCAATCATTGATGAGTATTATTTTCCAACTCAATTAGAAAGGGCCCCAACTTAAAAGGTTACTTGCAAATGATTCTTAAATTTAAATTATTGAATATTGATATTTACATAGCATTAGTCACTACATCTCATTCCATTTGTATAAGCAACAAATTTGTGGCCATTATACCAAAATAAATTTAAAAAAAGTTGTGACATTTCAATAATATTTGACCAAGAATATTAAGATATGAGTGACCTGTGTGTTCTATTTTCTTCTGATTTGGCTCAATTAAATCGTTTTTTCTCCTCTGTTTTGGATCCCTGAGTAGATTTTTCTCCCTAATTATTTTTTAACTTAATTATATTTTTCTAAAAAGTTGTAGAAATTATTTCGGTCTTGCAGATATTTCTACAATTGACCATTTTAGTCAGTAAGAATTGCAACAACAAAGCAAAAGGGATAAACTGAATCTCTTGTGTAGAAAGCTCATTTAATGTTCATTTATAATTTCAATGTCCAGTGCTCTGCAAGTGATAAACCCAGATGAAAATACTTTGATGAATTTCTTATTGAAATGTGAATTACATCATAAGAGGAAGCTGCATTTGGGTCATTTGTAAGGCCATCTTTTCTTGTCCACATTCTCAACGTCATCAGACTACAGATTATTGGAAATCCTTGTGATCTAGTGTCGATAATTTTAATTTTGTTCAATAACTACGTAACTATACTTATTTTAAAATTAATCTGGTAACTAAATTATAGTTTGATTTTTAATTAAGGTAATCGATGACATGATCGAATATTGTAAAAGAATGAATGATTTTAATTAGGTAGTGCTTTGTAATATATTTGGGAGAATGGATTCAATTAAGCCTTTCTTTGGGGGGCCTTTGCACCTTTATATAGTCATGCAACAAGATCTTGTCGCTATTTCTCTTTTCTTGAAAGAATATTTGACATTTGTTTTATGCCACTATCATGCTTGAAGAGATTTGATGGGTTGAGGATTTCGCCATGTCGGATCATCGTGACACCTAAGCCATAGCTTGTGGCCCAAGTCATCATTACTTGCAATATAGGCAATCATTACCTTTTCCTAATAAGCGAACATGGCAGTGCTAACTTTGAAAGTGATACCTTCCCGGTTAGGATATTACAGTCTTTTTTTAGTATTCGCTCCTCAAGAGAAATGCAACGTTCTAAAAAAATGACATCGTCTAATAGTGAACTATTACTACAATTTGGATAGATTGTGTTACCTATCTTGATCGACTATAGTTGGGCTAGAGAGTGCATTTTGTGGCACATGAAGGAGGTATATTGTTTGCGGTTTGCAGACTAAGTTTTTAAAGTGTACTAATAACTTCTCATAGATATTAAGTTATATACTATCCTTGAACTATATGCACATGCCACCACAATACATGGAATCTTAGCCATATGATAAGGTCCAGTCCCTATCTTCATCGTGGATGACATTTGAACTGCCCAATAATATGGACATTTCTTGAAAATGGAAACTAAAAACTTTCTCATATCTTTTCAAATATTTTTCGTTGAACTATAAGCAGTAGACATCATATTATTTTCCACCAGTATTCATCAACTTCCTCAAGACGGAATATAGCAAATTTTTGTAAGACTTGTGAATTCAATCCTCCAACAATCACATGTTAATCCTTATCTTAATCTTTTAATCAAACTCACTTACGCGTGCACTGACTTTCAATTAAAAATGGTCCCAATGTCTCTCCAAGGACAATTTGATTCCAATTCAATTATTGATATATATTTCTCTCTACCTAATAAATCAAATTCACACAGCATAAATTAAATTATTGATATTGATATTCTCACCATTATTCATTACATCTCATTCTATTTGTATAAACAAACAAATCCTTGCAAGTGGTGATCTTACGTGGCTATAATACTAAAACTAGTTGTGACATATCTGTTACACCTCTTCCAACGAGGTCCTAACAAGGCCACGTGGCGACCACGTCCCACGAGAACCCAAGCCCACCACTTCATTCTATCCATGTGGCATTGCTGTTGAACCTCCATGAGAAACCAAACATTTTTAAGGGTTGAAGCCTCACGGATAAGGCAAGGCAATTGAGGGCACTACAGGAGATCTTCAATGAATGACAGTGACAAGTCATTGCAATAGTCGCTCTCAAACTACACATTTGCTCTTTCATTATTCTCTATTCTTTGTGTAAAACTGAAAAGTCTCGCCAAGAACGCTATGATATCACTTGAAAGTTCGCAGGACGCAGTGTTACCAAGTTTACGCTTTAGTCAATTTTTTACTTCAACCTTACGTGCAAAATTGTACTAACCAAAGCAACAAGTCACTTTAATTAGGTTCTAGATGGTTAAACATACAATCCAATTTAATTCTATGTTTAAATGCCGCAATTTAAATAAATTGGAAATCAGTAAATAACATATTATTTAATGACGGAAAAACCCAACGTGGGAAAAAACTTCGAAACCAAGCTAATTACTTCCACTATAGACAATTTAGGGAATAGACAGCAATTTCAAATCTTGTACCTACTAAGACTCTCTGTCACAATGTCACGATCTACTGCTGTAGATACCTCCAGCCTGCTAGACCTCCTGATCTACCTCCTGTAGTCTCTTACTGTTGTAGATGCCTCTAGCCACCTACTAGACCTCTTGATCTATCTCCTACAGCCTCCTGCTATGATAGATACCTCTAGCCTCTTGCTAAACTTCCTAATCTACCTTCTACAGCCCAATTCGTTGTCTCTTACAACCTTTTGGTCTTACGACGAATGTCACTCCAAGTGGAACACCAAGATCCATCTGTTCTTGTGCTTGTAACAGCGCTTCAATCCACCTTTTTCAATCCCCCCCAATGAAAGAGTATTTTCCACAATAGATTAAAGAAGCACAATGTTTAGTTGCCGGATCACAAGATGTTATGGATGTGAATCACCGA